CCGAGCAGGTCCCCCTCGACCTTGAAGGGACCCGGCTGGGCCGCCCGGGTCTGGGATTGTGCCGGGTTTCAAGGACACGGGAGATGATCAGGACTTTGGGAGCCAACATCTGCCTGGCTGGTGACGTCAGCAACCCCGTGTAATCCTCTTGTACTGAAGGCAGATGCCTTATTTGTTTGGCTGGAGAGGCATTAATCCCTAATTCTGGAGCAGCAAGCGAGGGGGAGAGACCGGACCGCTTCCTATCCCCCGAAAGCAACTAGCGACACTCTCCTTCTCTCCTGCTCTCCGCGGCTCCGACTGGGCGGAGGAGCCGTCAGCCCCCGGCAGGTTTGACTATTTTCTTTTTGATTATGGTTTTTTTTTTAGTATTCGGAGTGGTTTCATTTTTTTTATTTTTATTTCAATGGTTGGATTTCCCCCTATGGATTTAGTTCTTTGCTCTCGTACGTTCTTCAAGCCGAGAAAGAAGGGGGAAATGCTGCTCCCCACCCCCCTCCATACCCTTAATTTTTTTGGTTTTTTGTTTTTTTTTTTCATTTTAAGCTTTCCTCTGTGCTTGCTCTCCGGGGATTTTGCAGCGGCGGGCAAGGAGGTTGCTCTCTGCGGTTGCCCGCGGCTGGCCCCTTCCCACCTCGCTGCAGAGACTCAGATGCCCGCTCGCCCCGGCGCTGCGGTGATGGGCGTTCCGCCTTGTCTCTCCTCGGCCACAGACCGAGTAGCCCCACAGGCTCGGGTCTGGCCGGTCCCAGATCCGCGTCAGTCCGTGTGGCCCCCCTTCTCTTCTCTTCCCTTCCCTTTCCTTCCTCCCCTTCCCCTTTCCTCCCCGCCCTTCCCCTGCTCTGACTCCCCCCTCTTTTCCTTTTGTCATTGGCAACCGCGCGGCGTGAGGGCTCCCTGCGCCCTTCCCTCCCCGCCTGCCTTTCCTCTCCTCCCCGCCTGCCTTTCTAACGCTCTTGCTTTGTCTGTTTTCCAGGCGGCCGCACGCGGGAGCTGCGGTGCCGAGGGGGGTCGGAGCCGTCTGCCCACTTTGCCCCCAAATGCCCCGGCAAGCTACGGGAAAATCTCTGGGAAGCCCAGCCCGCCGCAGGAGACCGGGTGCCGCCGCATGCAGCCGCAGTACATCCCGCTTCACCTCCTCTCTCTCTCCCGGGCCCTGGGGCCGAGGAAGCAATCGAGGTCAGCCACCTAGTTCCCGGGGTCCGACAGCGGTCCAGCCCGCAGGGTGATGCAAGGCGCCCGGCCGCTCCGCTCCTCCCCGGCGCGCCATCGTCACCGAAAAGGAATGGTCCCCGTCCCGAGCGGTGAAAGATGGCAAAAAGCGTAATAATAATAAAAAAGCTTAGGCTGATTTTATTTTTTTAAAACTATTGTAATGACTTCACCCCTCATTTCCTCACTCGCCAGTTCAGTGTAGGCAGGCCAGATGGGCTGCCCAGGCCCTCCCGGGAAAGGGGCAGGTGCGAGTGAGTTAAATTTTTTTCCGCTTTACAAAGAAAGATGACACGTCCTGCCCTTTCATTTTTCATCGCCGAAAGACCTCCCTCTCCCCCCTCCTTCCCCCGGCCGAGAGGAGCGGGGATGCTCTGGGGATGAGGGCTCCTCCCGCCCGTGCTCCAGGGAAACCGCAGGACCAGGCGGACCGAGGCAGCCGGAAAGAACGATCATCCCCCTGAGCCCGGGATGCCAAATCACAGACGTCGAGTCGGGGAGAGCCAGCTCCTGTATTTAAAATCATGCGAAGACGCTGGTGAAATTAAAGCAATCGCCTGGAAGTGTCTAATAGGCACACGTTTAATTTCTCTCCCTTTTTTTTTTTTTTAATCCATTAAATACATATTTAACAGATTCCTGAGCATTGCAAACAACAGACCGGCTAGTCAGAAAATTCGAGCATGAGTTATATGCAGCCCAGGCCAGGATGGGACTAGGGCAGAGGGAAATCACCGGGGTTTTTTTCGGGGATCAGTTGCTGTTCTGCTTCCAGAGAGAGAGAGAGAGAGAGAGAGAGAGAGAGAGCGCTCTAAGGCTCTGACTCTCCGTGTTCACAGCGGACCTTGATTTAATGTCATACAATTAAGGCACGCGGTGAATGCCAAGAGCGGATCCTCAAAGCAGCATGAAAGATCTCGCTAGAACACACCATAACAAAAACGTTAATAATAAAAGTAATAGAAAACTGAAAATTAAAAAAAAAAAAAAAGGAGAGATAAAGCAATAAAGAACTCGACAACCTGTACTCACCTGTGGAAACCGAGACTAAGTAGGACTGGTGTACTGATCGGCGCAGCCCGGTGGAGAGATGTCACTGCCACGGGACGGGCGCCCGCGAGGGCAGCTGTCATCAGCAGGTAACGGGGCCGTGGGGGACTACTGGAGCGTTGGGGTAGCCGTGGTGGTTTTTCAAGGTGGTGGTGACTCGACCTCTTGCTTTCTTGGGCTGAACCATGTAAAGTCGATTAATGGGAAATAAATACATTTTCTAATATTATCATCGCGAGGATTGTTCTTTGCGCATCGCCCAGCCGGTAGCTAGGGGTGCCCGCTCGGTAGTGGTTCCTCCTCTTGCGGGACTCCTCTGGAAGCCGAGGAACGCGGGCCCTGGGGCGGTGGCGCGGTGCGCGGGAGGCAGCAGAGCATCGTCTGTGCCGCGGGCCGGCAGAGCCATGTGCGTCGCTGGTGGACGGGTGCGGGAGATGCTGGAGGTGCGGCGGGGACACTGCAGCAGAGCCGTGTGCGGAGAGGTAGCCGGGACGCGAGAAGAAGAGTGTGCGGCGGTTGCGAGGGGGAGCGGAGGAGAGCAGCGTAGGGGGACGGTGTGGGGATTTCGGCTCAGAGCGGTGCCGGCGGGCAGTGGAGCGGCGTGCGGGCTTTTTGCGCGGGTCTGGGCGGCAGGGCGAGGAGCAAGACGGCGGCTTGCCAGCGCGGAGCGGGGGGAGGCGGCGGCGGCGGGGTAGTGTGTGTGGGGCAGGTTACGCGCGGGGGAGGGCGGCGGGGCGGCGGTGGTAGCGCGGCGTGAGCGGGGGCCGGGGCGTGTGCGGCCAGGGGCACCGGAGAGGCGGCTCCGGTGGAGACGACGGCGGTGGCGGGGCCAAGCCGACGGGTGTGGGGAGGGGGCGGGGGCTGGGACGGGAGAGGCCGGGGTCTCCGCGCCGTCGGCGGCGGAAGTCTTTGTTCCGCGGGGCCTCGGAACAAAGGAGCGGAGGGACCGCGAGGGGGCCAGGTGGGGGCCAGGACCGCGGCCGGCGCTGTCCCTGGTGCTGGCAGCGTCATCGAACTCCCGACGCGGGCGGCCAGGCCACCTGCTCCCGGTCGCGCAGAGACGTCCCGGTGGCACCGGGTGGCCCTCGTGATGGGAGCGTCCCCGGTGGAAAAAAAACTAGCATCCCTGAGGGTAGAGCAGGAGAGCCGCTTGACCTGCGCGGTGCACAGCCGCTGCCCCGGCGGAGTCCCCGAGCGGGTCCCCCGGCGCATCCCTCCCGTCGAGTCCTTCCAACCGCCGCTCTGAAACAGCCAGGTTGGAAGCAAGTCCTGCGGGGGCTCTGTCGCGCTCCCGTCCCGGCTCCCTTCGCGACCATCTGCCGCGGCCTAATTCTACTCTGCCGTCTATCAAACGGCAGCCACAGCCAGCCAGGGCAGGGGATGTTCTCAAACACTAAATAAGGCAAAACAACTAAGAAACAGCAATAACTACAAGAACTATAAATTATAACAACACCATCTGCCTGAAGGTCGTAGATCTTTGTCGTCTTTCCTATTGCGCTCAGGAGACAGCACTGACTGCAGTGGGTTTTTTACCAAAAACTGGATTGCAAATTGGACTGATCACCCTTCTCTGCAAAGGGATAGAAGAGGAGAAATCTTGCTTTTTCCTCAGCCTCTTCATTTGCTTGTAATCATCCTTATGCTGTCCAGTAGACAGATGAAGTACATGGGCTACTCCATCCTTTCTCAGGATGAGTTTTTCTCAGTGCACTGCCTGCTCCTGCTGTGCCACATAGCTTCTCTCATTTCTTGTTTTTGAGATGCCTCTTCATATATACACATCTACCCACACATACATATGCACATTTGCACATTTTCTATGTACCCTCAGATTGCCGTAATTTCTGTTTATCATTTCTTCTTGTTTATGTGTTCTTTGTAAGACCCAGCACTTCGCAAGATCTTAGGACAACCGTGCAGTAAACAGAGGAAAGTCCATCTTCGCCTGCTCATGTGTGGGCCAGGATGATGCACAGCCGAGATTAACCCTCATACAGGTAGAGAACAGAGAAGTCTTTTAAATGTGTTGTGTCCTGAGCAACCTGAAGGACTCAGCTAAACTCTTTGCAGGATTACAAACGTGAACTGACTACCCCTGCACTAAGGCATTATCTCCACCACATTTCATTCCTTCTTGTTTTCTTGGAAATCAACGCTAAAGATTTGTTATAAACCTTCTATACTTTCACAGCAAAAGAAACATAAATATGTAAGTGAACCTGCTACTGCCAATCTCTCAATGTAATTTTAAAAATATTTCTTACTGCTTGGAAAGAAGTGGAACTTTGGAATAGATGGAGGTTCTCTCGGAAAGCTTTCAGAAACAGGGAGCCTTCCTCCCTTCTAAACTACAGTAGCAATAATAATGGTGGTGACAATGATGATGGAGCACATAAAAAACGGATGAAAGGAAGGTCTGAAGACCCAGTTGATGAACTATGCCATCTAGAGCCATGTGTTTCCCCTTCCGATGTCACATCGCTGCCGTAGGTTGAGGCTATGGCGGTGGCATCTGAAAGTAACCTGCACTTAATATTCACCACTTACCTTCTTACTCCAAGAACAGAACAAAAACCCTGCTCTCAGCAATTTTTCTTGGGGGTAGTCTGATTTCCAAGGCTCCTCACAGAGAGGAGCAGGGAGCACTGCCTGCCAGCCTCTCCTTGAATTAGAAGAACACACCCACGCTCTCCCACTGCTCCCTCTCCTTTTTTTTTTTTTTAAATTGTTTTTCCTTTTTCCCTCCTTAAGCGACGCCTACCCGGAGCCAGAGGGGCAGAGCTTGGTCCCGGGACGGCCGCAGGACGCCCCCGGGCGCTGCCCCGGCAGGGCCGGGCGGGATGCGGGAAGATGCGCCCCCTCCGCCGGCACTGCCCCGACCCCTGGCGGCCGCGCACAGCGCATCGCCCAGCTCAGCGCCAAGTCCCGCTCAAGTCTCGCTCAAGCCCGGCGCGGCAGAACACGAGAAACTTCCAAGTACGAACCGTTTAGAAGCAATGTTCCGAATCAAAAATAGCTTACAAATGTCATTCTAAAATGTTTTGCAACATAGAGCGTGAGAAGTGATCTTTTCATGCCTTCCCAGTGGGAATCGAGGCTATCTGTCTCGTGTAGATCCAGATCTGTAGAGTATCATCTGTGACACGAAAATATGAAGGGAAATGAGCTACTACCTGCTTACTGCAGCTGTTGAGGCAGTCTGGGGCATCAGCTTCACTCAAGGGCAAATGGTCCTACTATAGCAAGAGACAGACTCAAGGTATTGTCCAATTTACAGACACAGGCCAGTCATTTTCAAAAAGTTAAAATTTAGTTTTTGAATTGGGATGATTAAACGCCAACATTTCATTTTGTTTCACTTATCCTGTACTCAAGGTGGTGGCTAAGAAAGGTGTAGAGCACAGGTAAGTCAGGCAATAAGCAAAGCAAGCCTTCCAGCAGAACAAGCACTGTTCCACTGTCTCCACCCTGAAGAGCTGTTCAAGCAGCAGGATCTTCACACTGAGAGAAGCAGAGGAGAAGCAATGTGTCTGGTGCTTCAAGGCCTGGTGCGCGGCGATGACTGCCACAGGGCAGGAAAGTGGATGAGCCAGCCAGCAAGGTATGTAATGAGATTAATTTTCACACTCTGCACAAAATTCCTCACATTTCTTTTGTATTACTTAGCTCCTCTGGTACTGATAAATTACCACAATACTGAGGAGTGAGAGGAGTGAGATAATAGAGATAGTAATTTGCAGTTTAATATAAATTAATTTTTACTTAATCAGGAGTTGCTTTAATAGCATGGTGGATATTAAGAGTACCACACTACTCTATACTAAATATTTGTGTGTCAGATGTAGTCTTATAAAAACCTGACTAAAGAAGTCCCACAATCAGAAAACAGGGAAGAAATACCAAATTTTAAATATGCTGTTGGTATAAAACATTTTAAATTTTAAATCAAGGACAAATTAATTAACAGGTGGAACCTGTTAAATTAACGTGGTGTACTGTTTATACTAAGATTGCTTTATAATTTGTCATATTAAAGTAATTCTGTTTATTAGGTGGTGAAGTACAGTTTGCATGTTAAACACTATTAACTAAAATACACACTCAATACTTCTACAGTAGTACTTAAAATGTAATCTAAGGTTGTTAACTCCATCGCTAATAAGTTTTGTATAAGTTTTTTGTACAAGAAAATGAAGATGAAATACTCTGTTTACAGCAACTAGCTAGTGTATATTTGAACTGATCTTAACGAATGCAGCTGGTAAAGAAGTTAATAAGCAAGGCAATAGTATTATTTTCTTAGAAATTTTAACAGAGAATAACATAATTATTTGAAGTATTATTACAGTACTTGGAACATGGAACATACATAGGTCTTTCCAACTTCAGAGGGTTATGACCCAGTACTGTGATGTCATTTGGCGCAACCTGTATAAAACAACTGTTCAGTTTTTTCTGAACCCAAAACTTATTCCATACACTATTCCTATCTCACAAACTAGATCTAGTAGAGGTGTTGAAAGTATTTTTGCACCATTTAAACCATATATTATTTGATTTACTGTTATACGTCTAGTGTATGAGACAATCAACTGAGAGAACATTTTTTAATGAATGTACAAAATCTGTAAAAATCTCTTACATTCACGCTGTTGTTTTTCAAACCTAATTAAGAACTTTTTGCTATTTGTCATTTCTTCAGGTAATGCATGCTCAGCCTACTAATATTTGTGGATAAAATGAAAAGAGCAGCTGTGAAAGGAAAACTAAAGGTACAGTCTTTAAATTTTTACCATCAACACTTCCAAGTAATCTGCCAGACTGGGTGAAGTCCTTTGAAAATCAAGGGCACAACTTCTTTCAAATTAGAAAAATTCAAATATGTCTGACTACTATTAAATTGAACAGAGGAATAAAAATTATTATGTGGCTGTCACTAATTAAAGCAATAATTAGTGAGATGTTGACCTATTTTAAAGATTTATACTTCCTCATCTCTCCTCTGTAGAGGATTCTAAGGGCCAATCAGAATAAATCATTTCCTTGAAAAGAGCGCCAAAATCCCAAAAGAAAACAGAAAAATCCATGGGTTTTTCTTCTTTTCATTTCTTTCGCTCAATTTCAAACAATTAAAATGTCAGATTCCCCACATTAGTCAGACCGGTGACATCAGCGATAGGTTTCAGGTCATGAGTATTTAAGAAATACGTAGAAACCTCTCAGGTAAAAAGAAAGAAGTGTTAATTTTATCTTGGTAAGTGTAAAATCAAAACAATATATGTGCCTGTTCAGATAGATCTTCTGCACTTATATGTTCACAAACTTAATTTTAGTAAGCTTGACTGTTTAGCAAGATGTTGCACTCTTAGATCAAGAGCCAGGTTTAAACATACATGGTCAAGATTTGAAGCACATAGGATGCAATACACATTTCAAAAGGAATTCCATCCTTCCCTAAATGAAGTGTTGATTTAAGATGGCGCTGCAGCACATACTGCAGTCCCCAGCCGTGCTTCAGATCCATAGCTACTTACTGGAATACGAGCCCCGCTAACTGCCAGGACAGGACAAACACTCTGGGACTGTTGAATCCCTTTGAACTGAAGGTTCATACTACTAACACAGCAATGGCCTGACCAAGGTCAGTGTTCACACTACATTATTAGTGCAGTCAATTAAGTGCATCCAAGTACTTCCTAATAATATACACACAATAAAAACAGAGCATTAATCCTGCATAAAGAGAAATAATACATAATAATAGCAGAGTCGGCCCAGAAACACTTTTCTGTATCTATGAAAAATGTAGGGCTTCTGGAATACTGTGTGAGAAAGAACACAATCACTTTACTGAATGGGAATAATAGAAACAAAACAAATGTCGCTTGAGAACATGGAACATCATGGTCTGGAATAAATGAAACTGTTTCATGTTGTAAGTTAGGACTACAAGTGTCTGGAAACAGAGGGAGGAAGAGGACTTGGGGTATTATTTTGTTGCATAATATCTGTATGCCACATGTGTGATATACACATGGAAAAAAAAAAGCTAGTGGGATACTATTAGAGGAAATTATTTTATGCTATAACCCTAGATGTAGGCAAGCTTTCATTGGGATTATGTCGCCCCATTAATCGTGGTCAAACAAAAGGCTACTAAGATAGCAAAGAGGATGAAGAATCTCCAGTCATGAACTGATCACAAGAACTTGATTTGTCAGCTCAGCAAAGTGAAGTCAGAGGGGAAGTATGACAGCTTTTGGCAAATATCAGAGGACAAACAATGCTAGGATAGGCAAAGAAGTCATTGTACTACTAGGATGCTAGCACTAATGTTACCTTGAAAAAAAATGCAACTCCCTAACCTAAGCATAAAGGGAATTAAATTAATAGATAGCCTTCTCATAAACTGGTGGAGGACAAGAAAAAATCATTTGAAGAGTGAGTAACTGAATTCACTTACTAGGAAGAGTATTCTGACTGTTTTCTGCTGAAATCTAAAAAAAAAAAATAAAAAAAAATAGAATAGGTCTCAGCCTGGATCAAGAAAAATATTTCTTATGTATTTAGGAGCTCAAAATCTATGAAAATTTTAAAATAAGAGTATGTTTTGAAAGGGAACTAGAGAAAGAACGAGAACAAAAGAGAAAGAGGAAGAGACGGAAAAAAAAAGGAGAAACAAAGAGAAATAGGAAGAAACTGAGAGAAGGAAGGAAGAGAAGTATTTTCAAATAAAAGAAAATGTTCACAACAAGGTGTTTTAATCCATTAATTCAAGGTGAATTTTTGAACTGGGTAAATTAACAAAATGTACAATTTCACTGCTTGGTTTCAATGAGTCAGCAATTTTTTATTACACATATTATTAAAAAATTCTAAGTGCACTGCTATATGAACAACCTCTGTTCTTCTTTGAAGTGTTCCTTCTGTCACTATGTGAAACTTGCATAATAAGATACATTTTAATATGTCAATAATATTGTAAGCTTATAGGAACAGAAAATCCAGGTATGTTATGGTTGTTCTAAAATTACTGGAAATAAATTCTCTAAATCAAAGAATTCAAAAGCTTTTTCTTTTTTTTCATTTTTCTGATTTTAAGCAAAGATATAAGGAAAATGCAAAGATGAGTTGTTTACAGGTTTTGTAGATTGACAGAAGAACATTTAGCAAGGTTTATGTTATACTAACTGCAAGCAATCAAAGGAACACAGGTCCTGGATGTTTATGATTCGGAACACAGATATATTGTTTTTGTCTGCGTGGTGATTTGCATACAGGCATATAGAGATTAAAAATATGGATAAATCAATGCACCCCAGATACCAACTATATTAACGTTAATCCATTTTCAAAGAATTAGCAGTCCATAAAGACATGTTACGTCATGTTATAAATTTCAGCAATACATAAACTTCTTTCTTTTTTTTATTTTCTCTCAATTTTGGAGACAAAGAACACATCAGAGAAAAGTCATCTAAGGATGCAAAATCTTAAGGAATCCTAAATACACGAAAACAAGAAGTTAGAAATGAAAACACCTGACTGTTTTTACCATCTTAAACTACAGAAAAACACTGCCACCTTTGCAGATACAACACATGAGCCTGCAAGATGAAGGCTATTCTGTGGTTCACGTGTGGATGTGAAGGAACAAAGATTACCCAAGCTCACCTGCATGGAAACTGTGAAACTGCCTGGAAAATTTGGGGAATACTGAGCTGAGCATTTATTAGGAAGACTGCCACTGATTCTGAGTAAAAATGAAGAATGAATTTCTATTCAAACTTACGTGAAGAGAAATAATTCTGCAACCTCAGAAGTTTATAGAGCAATATGGAGAAGCACAGAAATGAGACAAATAGTTCAAAGTACAATAGAACGGTGAAAAGTACTTTATTTTTAATTTATAATGCGTTTTCTTATGTTGCCTGTGTTCATCTTTTTGTGTTCAGCTTAAGACAGTTGTACAAACAAATTTCTTTAACATTTTGTGGGCAAACACAAAAATCAATAGATTTTTATGTCTCCACATGCACATGGTTTTGTTCAATTTATTCAAGCACTCACCCTCTCAGAAAGTAAGAACAATTTTGTCCAGCAAGCAAGAACTACAAACAGGTCCCAAGTGATTAAGGGATGCCTTTGAAGAACCTTTTTCTGGTGAAAACTTGTCAGCAGAAGTTGTGTTTGTTGGATTCTTGACTGCAGGATATTTCTTCCTTGAGCCACATGACGTAGGATGAAGGGCAGAGGAGACACTGATTTGGGATAAACCTGGAGGACTGGGACTGCAGTTCCAGCCCAAAGCCTAACTTGAAGGAAGGAATATGAGTCTGATAAGGAACAGGAGGACAAATCTTTCCTTCTTATTATATGTGCCCAGATCTGGAATTTAGAAAGACCAATAAAGGCAAGCAGTAGCTAAGTACAGGCAGAAAAAGGTAAAAACAACTCATTTGAAGCAATTACAAATGTCAGAGCTAAATTAGAAAAGCCCTGTCAGTGAAAGAGAAAGATGGCTGATCTTTCGAAATGCTCCTGAAAAATTCCTGCAAAATAGGCACTAGAAAGTTGGCTTTGAATCTGCTAGACTTACACAGAAACACTAAATTATTGTGTCACATATAGACTCCTTACCTAATGCAATACAATTCAATATAACACACACAAGTGTTCCATGTTTCCTCATTCAAAACTCTGCATTTCCCTGTCATGTTTCGGGGTTTGCATCCTGTAGCACATGATTCCTACATTTCCCTTAATTTTAGAAACCTAGCAACCTAGTCATACTAGCAACCTCTCTTCTGTCTGAGAAGGACAAGGCGAGGTTTTAACCATCAGTGCTGCTCAGCGCTAGCAGTAAAGCTGGGTGAAATGAACATTCTACCCCTAGGGGGTATGGATTGGAGCTGGAATGCCCAGGTTACACACAGAGTTGCCATGCCCTTCTGTCCTTTCTGAGAGCTGATGCTTTTAGAAAGTGATTATATGGGTAGGGAGGAATTAGCAGACATCACACTAACAGATCGTGCTTTCTGAATGTTCTAGAGGAAAAAACTAAGGAGAGGTGGAGAGGTTTTGGAGACCAAATTTAGCAGAACTGAATTCCCTGCTTTTTCAGTTTACTTAACAGTGAGAAAAAAACATAGCAAAATAGGTATGTTAACAGGGTCAAAAATTGCCTGAGCTCTCCCAAACAAGCAGATTCAGAAAAACAAAACCCTGGAAAATGCACAGTAAGAACTTAAGAATTTATCAAGATGAATACAGAAAGCTGATATGACACTCTGTACTTAAAAATCTTCTATATTCTGGTTTCTGATTGCAAATTATTTAAAAGGTGTTTGGAAAGCATCGTTGCTTATGGAAAAAAAATCTGCATCTCTAAAGAAATCACAGATTTGTAGACAGGATATCTTAATTTATTATTTCAGTATACCACCTTAGGGGTGCCCAGCTACTGGCAAAAGTAATTTTAAGAGTTTATTTACCCAATTTTCTTTCATTTTTTTCCTTCAAATATGATTCAATAGGCTTGACTACCCTTCCTCCAGACAGCTCCGTGGAGGGCTAGTGAAGACAGCAGGGCACAGCAGGGTCTGCAGAACCATGCCAGCAGCCTCAGACACTCTCAGCAATTCAGCCAGACAACTAGTATCTAAATTCAACAACATTCACAATCTTCCGTCTGATGGCGGGTTTTCACCATGGAGAACTCCAGGGAGAGTCACTTGCTGGTGTGAACTCCAGGGAGAGTCACTTGCTGGTAAGCCCACCTTTCAGTGCTAGTACTCAGTCTAGGCTTCAGTGACTACCTATCTAAAGCTCTCGAGATGCACCTACCCTGCCAGGAACAGATAAGCATATATATATACACATCATACAGCCCTTTGGTAGGTTGTGTCCCCATTGTCAGGGTTTGAGAAGCACCAGTACAGCTTATTTAAGTTCCAGTTGAAGTTTCTCAGTTTCCATCATAAGAAAGCTGTGACCACCACAATACCGGTTATTAGAGAAGTTGTCTCGTTCAAAATGACTAAGTATTTTTGCAGGTCAAGCACTGGCAACACAGATGAGCAACATTAGAAACATTACATATTCATATGATTCTCTCTGCTGCTCTCTATTACTTATATGATACAACTGTTTTTATAGCAAAGTAGGGGCAGTAGGGACTACTTAATTGGGATAGTCTAACGTATGGACAACTGTTCAAACCACGAATTATCTAAATTTTGTATGGACAGAGATGGATCTTAAGAGCTCTGTAGGGGTCAGAGCTGTTAACAAACTGCTAAGGAGGGCTTTGGGGACTAGATGGGCATAGTGAGAAAATCTGGAAATTCACGGTGAAGAACTCTCCCAGTTCACTTTAGCATTGTTATAAACTGCTTAGCCTGTGATTTTTCCCTTTTTTGTTATTAGTGAGGCTAAAAGTGGTTCAGAAGGGGGAGACTTGGAAAACTTGGTCAATCATGCTGTTGGGAAGTACTATTGTATCATCAAATTTTCCTGTCAGGGCCTGCCTCTTGAAGCTATAACATTATATCTTCAGGCTACATACTTATTTATTCCGATGTGTTACATTTGGACATCATGTGCATATAGTTCATCTATACATATATATACATATATATATATTTATAACACATCTACTAAAACAAAGGGATTTAGGGAAGTGAGAAACTTTAAAATACCACATTTACAGAAGAAGAAAAGAAAAAAGCTTCCAAAAAACTTAATTTTATGTTTTCTTTTATTGTTCCTTTCACCAAAGTAAAAGTAATTCCACTATATTCAACTTACCAAAGCCTGAAGACATCCTTGGTGTTTACTTTTAGTTCTAATCCAGATCCTTTGTTACTGAATCAGTTCAGAGAATAATTTAAACATACACTTAATTACATTCTTAACGTTAAGTGACTTCCTGAATCAATCTAATACTTTAAAGTAATATTAATAAACATTCTTTATTGAACAATTCCATTTAATATCTGTTCACAATGCCGTACCGCTCGCATATTCTTTCATGTTTCCTGTTTTTACTACTAATAGTAATACCAGTAATAAGATGTTCTCAAATCTTTGTTTGCGAAGCCCAGCCATGAATAAGATGTAGAAAGTTGCTTCATGTTTTTGATAGTCAAGGCTTAATGGTTTTGAAGAGGCACATTTTCAGAAGAAGATCACTTCAGAAAATCAAGTTCTCAACCCTACATCAGTAATTTTTTGGGCAAACTTGACTTGCTTTTCTAGGCAAACCCTTATATCCATAGCAACACACACAGGCTTCCAGTTTGACACTGTGGTTTTGAAACTATTGTCTTGTGAATAGTTGTTGGAAATGATCACATTTGGTATGTGCATATGAACATGTACACATCTGTGTGTGTGTGTGTATGAGGTACAAACTGGTGTTTGCGCATGCAAAGTGTCCTCTTTTCCTCTCTTTCCTCAAATCTTAGTGAAACAAGTTTTCATGAGTAAATAGATTTTCCTAAGACACTCTCCACCAAATATCTTTCTTTTCTGCAAAAAGCATGTATGTTAAATTCACAAATGGGATAAATTCTGTGACCAAGTGTTTCAGTAGTGGTACAGCAGGACTGTGGAGACAGTGCAAGAGGGAGAAAGACGGTACACCAGCCCTGCTGTCTGATCCTGACCCAGTGATCCCAGGTGTGCTCCAGCACAGGGCTGGGTATTACTCTTTCTCACAGTATGAGGACAAGAGCATTTCCACTTTCTCCATCAATTACCCCAGCCATGCACCCACTTCCTCCCACTACTCTCTCAGCTCTGGAGTTGCAATGGGAATTTCCTGTTTCAAGGCCTATTCATTACCTTCAGGGCTCGAGTGAAATCCAGAAATTTTTCTCCTACATTTCAGCAAATACTACGACAAGTTGTACTTGCACAAGGACAAAAACACAAGGAAGAAATAGGCAACAGGAAACTGGGTAAGGGGATGGGAAAAAAGCAACACTGTTACTGAAAAAAGGCACATAGGACTTTAATACAAAGCTTGATAACTGGTCACACATTACTATGGCCCAGGAACTATCCACAAGCTCCTAAGTGGCATAATTGAACAAATGCCCTGAAGAATAGGCTTAGTTCAGAAGTGCTCAGAAGAAAAAAAAGATTGAAATGCATTTGATATGTAAATCTAACCAGCAAGTAGAGCTGCTTACAGAGTCATACAAAAGGGATTTATCCTCTTTTTGGATTCCTGGCTTTATAATGGCAGTGGTGATCTTAGGGACATCCCTAGTCAACTTCAGAACTCCATATTTGGTATAAAAATGCTAGCTTAATAAACTAAGGCCGACTAAAAGAAATTGAAAAAAAAAAAAGTGCTAAGATTTCCAAATTCATCCTTTTTTCATATCAGAGAAAAAAATTACACTTCTCATACATTACTGGGGAGGGTATGTGAAGTGGGATCAAGCCACCATACAGACATACACACACCTAAGAGAGCATCTTATTCCTGCAGTCTTGTTGCTACAGTTTTCTCAAACCCAAAACAGCCTCTCTCCTCTCAGAAGTGAGAAAAGAAACATCCCATTGCAAGCCATGGTTAGTCTGATGTTGTAGCTACTCATGTAGCCTCTCCTGTGACAAGGACAACATTTGGCAAGTCCTTGTCTCTGTAGAAGCTGCATTTAGTTTGTGTCACTGCCACAAAAGTAGACTGCAAACACAGAACTTCTACTAACACACCAATAAAAATCCCAAGCTAAAAATGTTACAGATGACGTTGATCCAATATTCCTCCTACACACACAAAGCCTAAGATTTCCAGAAGGACTGCTCTTCATTAAATTTTCATTAAATGGGTTGTTACAATAAATAAGCAAATTACTTCTTAGAACCACAGCACACGGTTCCAGTCAGAATAACGCAGAAGGCATGACTTATATCAAGTAGATTTTAAATTCTGTTACCAAAACTATCAATCATGTCTTGTCTAATAAGAATCCTGCAACATTACAATTTAAGCCTTATTTATGCACTTTATAATTTAATACACATTAAAATTTACTGTTACAAGGAATGCAGATTTGTTTTAAGTTGTCTTCTTTATGCAGAAGAAAGTTTGCACTGATGTACTCGTATGCATCTCTATTGACTTCAGTCAAATCTACAGGAAGATGTAAACAAGACAAATGTTGTCTGGAGTAACATGAGCTAATCAAAGACTCACCTAAAGACTACGTGTCTATTTCCCACTTCCTTTGGTCTCAAAAAGACAGAAAAACCAGTATTCCTCTCATACTTTCATGGAAGAAGCCTCTGAGCAGGAGTTAAAATTCTTAGTCAAAATCAAAGAAAATATTTGCCTCAGAGATGTTATTCAGCTTTACTGGCAAACTCAGCTGGGAAACCTCCTCAGATGACGGTGTCAGAGGCAAAGC